TAAGAACCTGAGGGAGCTGAGAGGGTTCTTAGGCCTCACCGGGTATCACCGGATATGGCATGATAGCATGGTCATTGACTAAGCAGCTGAAGAAGGATAGCTTCAAGTGGAGGGAGGTGGCTACGCAGGCTTTCGAGCAGCTGAAGAAGGTGATGACTAGTGTACCAGTGTTAGCACTTCTCGACTTTAGCAGGCCATTTGTGGTGGAGATGGATTCTTCAGGATATGGTTGGGAGTTATGCTCACACAGGATCAATGACCTATTGCCTATTTCAATCAGGTGATCACAGTCAGGGCGAGACTCAAGTATGTGTACAAAAGGGAGATAATGGTTATTATCTTGGCTATTCAAAAATGGCGACCCTATTTGTTGGGGAAACTTTTCCTAGTCAAGACAGAACAAATGAGCCTAAAGTATTTGTTGGAACAACGAATGGTTACGGAGGAGCATCAACGATGGTTATCCAAGTTGCTTGGATATGACTTTGAGATACAGTACCGATCGGGCTTAGAAAACAATGCAGCAGACGCCTTATCCCGAACAGCCTCGATTAACAGCTTTGTCAGTAGCCATGCTTTTAGATTGGGAAGCTTTGAAATATGAGACTGAATAGGATGAAGGACTGAGGAAGATCAGATCCGATATGCTGCATAACCCAGATAGTCATCATGGTTACAGGTTAAGAGGAGTCCATCTAATGCATAAGGGAGATTTGTTCTACCGAGAGGATCAGGATACATTCCCACACTGTTACAAAAGTGATGTAGACAAAGGGGGGGGTCAACTCATGTCCAAAATAATACGAATTTTGGCTTCCCTTGAGTCTACTATTTGAGCTGAAATTTTAGCTCATTTATGAGCTGGACTTTAGTTCATTTATTGAACTAAGGGTTAGCTCATTATTAGCTAACATTTTAGTTCATTTATTATCTTACTTTTTATTAAATGTTATTTAGGGTTTTAAAGTCTTCTTTTATGATGTCTCTTGGGGTTCCAAAAAGGGTTGGAATCCCAAGTTAGGTGTTTTGTATTCCCATGCAGGACTCCTTGGTTTCCTCCATGGTTTCATTGCATTTGCCCCCTTGGATTCCGGCCGGCTGCTGGCTTCCCGTGCCTGGGCTCTTTCCGTGGTCGTGCCCCCTTGGTTCCCGCTCGGCCTCCTTGGCTCCCGCGGCTACCTCTTTGGTTTCTTGGCTTGGGATTTATTTTTAGGTGTTTTAATGTTATGATGTTTAGGTTCTTGTGATAATTAATGTTAGTGTCTCTCTGTATTCCCTTTCATACCTATATATATGGGGGATTTGTAATGTTTTGAAGAATGTTATGAAATGTTATTTTTGGAAAAGTTTTAACCTACGGGTTTGCTTTGGAAATCCTGCGGGCTCTTTCCACCATTCTTTCTCATCCCCTC